CTTGGTGGTTTTCTCTTTGCATGTACCTCCCCTTCAGGGATATTCCATAGGACTAAGTGCAAGAAAAATAGCACTGTTTTGTTTATACATCATGGACAAATGGGCCCTATAATCCCATTTAGTTGCATTGGTAATATTCAATTATTCAAAGACCATGGCAGAGATGTTCATGTGTATAGAGAAGGCAAAGGGGACAAAAAGAGAAGTAGGCAGGCAAGCATCACTGCTGGAGCTGAGACATTTCAGACTCGTTTTAATCTTTCACATCTTTCCAAGGCTCCAATCATTTATCTGGCAATTGTACACACCAGTAAACTCATCATTTCTTTGACTATTCAATTCTTTTTTAAAAAACTCACTGTGACAAAATATTTTTTAGTTCTAAACCTACATTCCTAGCCACACATGTGATGGGGACAGCTTTTATTCTTCCTAAATGCATTAAGCAAGTGGAGCTCAGAGAGGAGCACATTCAGTGTCTTGGAGGAAGTTAGTGATATGAGACAAAGTGTTCATTTTTTGTCTTCATACCAGGACATTTTTTCTTCTACTAGACCCAAGTGGAAATATTAGCCCCTATACAAGTTAAAATTTCATTTCTTTTTCTCTCATTTTTGAGGGGCTTGAGACATCATCTCAATGTATATTAGGGGATGGCCTTGCATTTGAGAACCTCCTACCTCAGCCTCCTGAGTGCTGGGACTACAGATGTACATCACCATGCCTGCTAAGATGAAATTTCCTGATGAGTTTTTTGAAAGGTTATTATTTGAGGGACTTTAGATAGATAGATAGATAGATAGATAGATAGATAGATAGATAGATGCATAGATAGCACATGCTAAGAGTAAGAAGATGTATTTAATGATGCCTGAGTTTGTATTAGGAAAATAAACATAGGTGATTAATAGAAAATTTGATGTCTATCAGTTGTTGGAAATATCACATGGAAATTCATTTGTGGGGTATGGAGAAGGCACAAGATTTTAAAGCATTGTTGCAATAAGGAGCCGATGTGCTTCCTTCATGTAACGCTGTACATCATCTAAATCATTCAAAGGGGATGTACCTACTTCATAGAGAGAATTAGAATCCACATGCTGCTGTAGCTAGTATATTTTATGAGCAACAGGTGATGTGTTGCACCCTATTTAGATTGCTTTAGATATTCTTTAACTAAATAAAGAAAATTCTTTATGAATACATAAATTTAAACTGACACGGAAAACTCAAGAAAATAAATTCGTAACAGCAATTGACTGTACAGAATAAGTATGCAGAACAGAATTATGCAGAAATACCAAGTGTTTAAATCATGTAGGTAATAGTAAAGTAGCAGTTGTGTAGCTGATTAAAGTAGCACTTATGTTGCTGTTATGGTTTACATCTAGATGTCCTCCCAAAGCCTCCTGCACTTTTAGATGGGGCTTTTTGGAGGTAGGTGAATCTATAGTTTGTGATTGAATCTATAGTTTGTAATTGATCAGGATTAAGGATGCTGGGATTAAGGGAGGTGATTGTTGGGATCAGTCTACTGATTGGATTGGCACTGCCTTAATCCCAGAAGTCCGTATAAAATAAAAGGGGTAGAAAATTTTATCCTGATTCCAACACCCTTAATCCCAGAACCCTTAATCCTAGCATCGAGCTATGAATTGATCACAAACTTTAGATTCAGCTACTTCCAAAACAGCCCCATGTAGAAGTTCGTGAGGCTTTGGGAGGACATCTGGACACAAACCATAACCCTCCACCCTTGCTCACCTGAGGATTATTGCCAACGGAATAGAAGGAGAACTGGAGGGGAAGGTGGTGTGCTGTGGGTCCTCTTGGAGAAGCTTGTCACACCGACTTTCCTGATATGAATTCAACTGTTCTCATCGTCAGAGGAGTTCAGAGGACTCGCTAGCTCCCACCACCAACCTTCGGGCCTTTCCAGGGCAGAACCTTTGACACAAACTTGCATGAAACACTGTTGTGGGCACTAAGCCTCCAGCTGGACTCATGGTGGACACTGCCATAAGCTCTAGGTCTTCAGCTGGACTTGTACAGGACATTGGTGCAGGATCCCAGCCCTCAGCTAGAATCCAGGCCCTCAGCTGGATTCCTTGAGTGTCCAGTCTGTGGACAGATTTCTGGCACTCTTCTGCATTTGACTATTGGTGTAAATATTATAAAATAATCCTATGAATTATGTGCCTTGTATTAAATCTTTTCCCTTGTAAACCCTGACTATAACAGTTGAAAATAATGTTGAATTATATTTTCAAATTAGAAATCAGATTTTTTTTTTTTTGTACTGGGAATCAAACTCAGGACCTTAGGCTTGCCAGGCAGGCACTTGTGCTGCTGAGCTATGTCCCCAGCTAGAAATCAGGTTTTTTGTAAGTAATGATAGATCATATTAATGAACTATGTTCTAAGCACTAGACTATCAAAAGAAATGATACACTGATCTTGATAGACATTGATTAGACTGGTTGAATTTCATCTAAATATTTAAAAATGTCTCCAGGTAATATATTTATATATGAAGCTGAAAAGCACCAGTCTATGCATATAACTATTTTTGTTGCTGTTTACTTTTTTTCCCTTTGCAGTGATGTGGTTTTTTATGTGGTAGACAAATGTACCTGCTATACCCTCAGCACTGGAAGTTTTCAGAAGTTTTTTAAAGCAACTGTATAACTGAACAGTTATTGTGGGGTTTTTTGGTTTTTTTATTTTAAAAATAAAAGGAGGAAAACATTAACAGACAGACAACCTTTTACAAAATAGCAAAAGAACAGTACAGACAATACAGAGTTACAAAGTGGTAGGAAATTAACAATGCTTGCTGTATTACATATTGATATCTTCAAAGTGGTTTCTCATGAACACAGATAGAGACATGCGATATTGATCAATCAAGGACTCATTGACAGTTTCTTGTAATTGCTAAAATGTGGAAGCAACCCAAATGTCCATCCACTGAGGGTTGGATAAGAAAATTGTGGTACTTTTATAGAACGGAATATTACTCAGCTGTAAAGAAAGATAAACTCGAGGCTTTTATAGGTAAATGGTCACAACTAGAGACCATACTCATAAGTGAAATAAATCAAGCACACATGTGCAAACACCGCATTGTTTCTCTAGTGTAAAGCCTGAAAGAGTTAATTTAAACTAGGAGATATGATAGACATTGTGAATTGATAGGAAAGCACTCAAAGGTAAAGGGTAACTGGGTTATGGGAAAAGAGAAGGGAAAGAAGGAGAAAGTTTGTATGTATGTATATGCAGGATAGTTAACATGGCTGTTCTACTGTCTTGTATTTCTTTGCTGAAAGAAACTGTCAATGAGTCCTTGGTTGATCAGCTTTGTATGTCTATATCTGTTTTCATGAGAAACCACTTTGAAGATATCAATATGTAATACAACAAGCATTGTTAATTCCCTACCACTCTGTAACTCCGTACTGTCTGTACTGTTCCTTTGCTATTTTGTAAAATGTTGTCTGTTAATATTTTCCTCCTTTTATTTTTAAAATAAAAAAAAATGTATATCTATCTTCACAGCACAAATGTTACTGATATAGGGCTTGAAAAATGACGGAGGGGAACAATTCTAAAAGTGTTTCTTAACATTTCATTACTTTTGGGGTAGGGAGAGTGCTGAGAATTGAACCCAGGGTTATGCACCCATCTCTGTTATATTTTTAAATTTTGAGACAGGATCTTTCTAAGTCACTGTTTCCCAGACTGGGTGTTATGGCTTGTGTTTAGATGGCCTCCCAAAGCCTCTTATAGTCACGCATGGGGCTTTTAACAGAGGTGGCTGGATCTTGAGTGTGTGACCCTAGAATTCATTCATGGTGCAATGCTAGGATCAAGGGGACTAGAATGAAGAGTATGAGCACAACCTGCACTAAGTAGCCTAGATAAGATCTAAGGAATGAAAGAGCTGTGGTCATCCCTTGTTGCATTGCTACCTTCTGCCCACCACAAACTGTTTCTCCTCTGTGGTGCCCCTCTGCCATGCCACCCTGCCTTGGAGCCAGCTGATTATGGACTGAAACATCTACAAACTGTGAACTAAATAAATCTTTCCTCTTTTAACTTTGGGTGTCTGGTATTTTGTCTCAGCAATGAGAAAAGTAACTAAGACACTGGGCTCAAACATTCACTCCTCCTACCTGAGCCTCTCAGAGTGCTGAGATTGCAGCCACACACCCACATACCTAGCTACATTTCATTGCTTTTTAATCATTGATTAGTGCAGTGTAGACTAATGCCACATTTCTGGTAAGCAATATGATCATGTGTATTAAAGGAAACAAACTTTATAAAATTTTGGAGATTACAAAGGTGAAGGATACAAATTATACATGAAATATTTCTTGAAAGACAAACTTAATTTGAGTGAACATTTACTTCCATGAAAGAAGGAAAGGAGGAAACCAAGAATGATGAAAACTTCTGGGAGATAATGGCATATATCTATATTTACTTATGAATTATCAAATTAGTGCTCAAATGATGCAGTCCTAGCTTTTGTGGACTTGTTATAAATATTCTAAATATAGGGATATTGTATCTTGGTTTTAGAGAAACATAAGTTTGAATGTCTATTAATTTCCATTATGATTTTTTTTCTGAAAGGGGATGGGCCACTATTTATTGTTTATTTTGAATTAAGAGAGGAAGCTGTATTTTGCTGTGATTGTGGGTTTCTTAATTGCTATTATTTTTGGTTAAAACATTGTTTAGTGTCTCTAAAGTAGGTGGGTATGGAAGGATGTGAATAACACAAAGATCAATAGTAAAAAAGTCCCCAAGGAAATTGGTTTTATCACAACTGAGAAATACTGCTCAAGGTGCATGGGCTCCAAATGTGAATAATGTGTGTTTGAATACATGAATTCAAAATACATGCAAAATACATGTACTTGTTTATGTGCTTCTTTTCTTCCAACTTCTTCTTTTGCAAAAGGTGCCCAAGCAATGCAGAAACAGAAAATCTAACTCGGGTGTCTGAATTCTATCTCCTGGGTATCTCAGAGGATCCAGACCTGCAGCCCGTCCTCTTTGGACTGTTCCTGAACATGTACCTGGTCACAGTGCTGGGGAACCTGCTCATCATCCTGGCCGTCAGCTCTGACTCCCACCTGCACACCCCCATGTACTTCTTCCTCTCCAACCTGTCCTTGGCTGACATCTCTTTCACCTCCACCACTGTCCCAAAGATGATTATGGACACCCTAACTCACAGCAGGGTCATCTCCTACGTGGGCTGCCTCACACAGATGTATGTTTATATTCTTTTTGGAAGTATGGATGACATGCTTCTGCTGGTCATGGCCTATGACCTGTTCGTGGCAATCTGTCACCCACTGCAATACCAAGTCATTATGAGTCCTCGCTTTTGTGGCTTCTTAGTCGTGCTATCTTTGTTGTTTAGCCTCTTGGACTCTCAGCTCCACAATTTGATTGTTTTACAACTTACCTACTTCAAGGAGGCAGTCATTTCCAATTTCTTCTGTAACCCTGCTCAACTTATTAATCTTAGTTGTTCTGACAACTTCTCCAGTAACATTTTAAAGTATATTGCTGGTGTCCTATTTGGATTTCTTCCCATCGCAGGGATATTTTTATCTTACTATAAAATTATTTATTCAATTCTGAGAATCCCATCAGCAGGTGGGAAGTTTAAAGCCTTCTCCACCTGTGGGTCTCACTTGTCAGTTGTTTGCTTATTTTATGGAACAAGTATTGGTGTGTACCTCGGTTCAACTGTATCACAGTCTCCCAGAAATTCTTTGGTGGCCTCAGTCATTTACACCTTGGTGACCCCAATGTTAAATCCACTGATATACAGCCTGAGGAACAGGGACATTAAAAGTAGTCTGAATCGGCTCCACAATAGAAAATTTTGATCTTAGGATCTGAGATATCCAGTACAAATATGGAGTGGACATTAAAAAGAATGGTTTCTGCTTATATTGTTTGATTTATCTTCCATGCCTATATCTTGTAATCTGAGCAACTACTTTGAAGATAACAATATGCAATATATTAACCATTGTTAATGATCTTGTTTTGAAACACTGTATCATTGTTTTTATTGTTTTTCTCTTTAAAATAAAGAATGGAAAGAGTAAGAAAGACAGCAAAATTAAACACTTATACATGTACAGGCTGCCTCCATGATTACATTGTTTTTGCATTAGGTGATTTTAAATTCTCACCATATATTTGTCACAGTGAAATGGTAGTAGCCAGTGTATGAGCATGGGAAGAATTGGGACTTTTAATGAGTACAAATTCTTAGTTTATGAAGATGAACAATTTCTGTAAGTGGACTTGAGGGGTGGAGGTACCACAGTGTGAGTATAATTAATGCCACTGAAATATGTGCTTGAAAATGGTGGAAATTGTCAATTTTTTTAACTTAAAAATTTTACCATAACAGAAATGGAAACAAAAATCAAACAAATCTTGAAAAGAAATGAAATGAATATATAACTAAGCTTCCTTTTGATTAGAGGAAGAAACCCCAAAATTTAGTAAACATTCACTTTCCTTCCTTCTCCCATTAATATTAGAAAGTCCATAGAGTTTGTGATGGACCAATATGGCTAATTACGAGCTCCATACAGTGAGTCTCCAAAGCCATGCAATAATCATCACTCAGCCCATGCCTCCGGATGTTGTTTGATGACTCCAGCCCAGCAACCACCATAGCTGTATCTCTTCCTGCTATGACTATCTGTATGTAAAAGCTCATTTATGCAACTATATGCAAATCTATTTTGAAGACAGGGCATGGGTTTTCATTGGGAAATAGGTAGAGAAGGGACATTGGATTTTCTATCTCATCATGACCCTGCAGAGAAGCAGCAGAAGGCAGTAAATGCTGAAAGACATGAAGGACAGAGGCAGCACTGTCAGGCACGTTGAGTGTTCATCATCAGGGCAACAGCTCAGTCTGGGTAGCCAAACGGGAGAACACACAAGTCCAAAATGTTAGCCATGAGGACGACAGAACTTATGTTTATGATTGTGGTCGAGGTTCTGGAAATCTCATCCAAGGTTTTGATTTCCTCTCACACTGGTTCTTCTTTGCAAAGACATGCCATGCAAACAACAGAAAATGGGTCTCTCCAAACTATTTCAAAATGATTCTGAAGGACATGTTGAGGATGAGGATAAGAATAACAATAATCACACCTTATCAGTCATTATTGATACATTTATAAATGCCAAGTATGCTACATAGATTATTTCAGTTCATCTATATAGTCTTCCCCCAAGTTATAAATGCCACATTATTTTGTTTTATGGAAAAGAAATGAGCATGGTATTTTTATCTAACACATGATAGTTGTTTAGCTTGATACACTGAAGCCATGTTTGAACAGAGCTCGCTGATTAGACACACAGGGGCCCGGATAGGAGAATCCTGGCAGTTTGTTACCTTGACAACTTCATTACCCACTTCACTTCCCTGTCACTCTAGGACAAACCCCTTGCTCACTGAGTACTTCTCTTTGGGGTTCCTGATAGCTCATAGGATAAAGCTGCACGGAACCTGGTGTGTCAACCACAGGAAGAATGGCTGCAGTCGCAAGCATGAGCCACAGAAAGAGAAAGCACACGATGATTCAGCACAAACCTCTATGTTTTCCTGCTTCACAACATCCCTTATTCTATCCACATCTTCCTGCAACATTAAAATCATCTCCCTTAGTTGGAAAAGGAGACATAATCTCAGGTCCTGATTTCCTTCCTACTCAGGACTCTTCTATCCCTACTTGAAATCAAAACCTCTGTACCTGTGCGTAAACCTTTCTGATGGTTGGGAAACAATGAAAACGATTAGTGCATCTTACCTAGAGATTGCCAATTTATTTTTCACTGCTGACAGCTCCATTTATGAGTTCTTTAACATCGGGCAGTTTGTTGGCTTTCCTGGGCCTTAGCATTATTATCTAGGTTGATTTCTAGTTGAAACAACAGTATTGAACATCAATTAAACAGCTACTGGGTTCTCTCTACGTGGTTAATATGTGAAAAAGTGTAAAACTGAGGCAAATACCAGTTAGTTATTGTTCACAAGAAGGTTAATCTCTCTGTGTTCAACTAGAATATCCTGCGAACTGAAGTTACTGTTTTCCTATTCCTGTAATGTTGTATTTAACTTTGCCCATGTGTAAGTATGTGCTGTGCATTTGGAGAAGCAATGGCCTTCATTCTTATCCTTCAGAGTGTGTAGTGTGTTTGTCCCACAGAAGGCATCAAAAATAAAATCTTTGTTAAATATTACATGGTTCCTTCCTTCATTATCAAATCTTGGCCATCATTGTGAATTCAAAAACTTGGTGTTTTCCTGTCTGAAATTTTATCCTCTTCAGGAATGTCCCATAGACTAGAGAGAAACAAAATAGCTTTGGTTTCTATGTCTTGGGCACATGGGAACCATAGTACCACTAAAAGCAGTATGGCTTTAAATCATTCAAAGACCATGGGGAGATTTTTCCTGAGCATAAAAGAAGTACAAAGAGGGGACAGCAGCAAAACTGATTGTTATTTGTTTATGTTTGTGATACTGGTATGCTGCTACTATTCTATTTTTTTTGTTTGTGTCTCATGCACTACTCTTTTTAAAATAAAATAAAATAAAAACTGATTGTTTGGGATGAGAGAATCATAGACATTTGCACCATTACAAGGTTCCAGAGCAATTGGACATTTCTATTCAGGATAATTATTTCTCTAATGACTGAATTCTTTAGTTAAAAACAATATAATATTGCAAAATATATTATGTTCCAAAATTGCTGCCACACAATGTATCTCTTTTCCATTACGTAGCATGAGCACAAAGAGGCTGAGAAATTCCCACACATTTTATGTTTAATGAACAGGGCTAAAATGTGCATTTCTTGACTTCTATCCCAAGGCATTGTTTACTTGAGTCAAAAGGAAATAGTAGTCCCAGGGCAGTATAAAATGGCTTGATTAGTTATCTCTGAAGATTTACAACATGTACCTCAATGATATTTTGATCATACATGTTTTTAAAAGGACAGTGTAAAGGAGAATAACTGATTTTTATTTGGAAAATAAATATAGGTGATTTATAGTAATATCACACATGAATCAGTTTTGAGAAGTCAAACAATGAGCCTTCAGTCACATATTATGTGACACCTTGGACTTTGTGAAATATGAGAATTTTGAAAGGATTATCATAACAGTAAACTTTCAGTTAAATAATGTTCCTATTAGGTAATAAGTTACATCAGTTAAAATGTTAGAAATGCATATATATACATCACAGCGAGACTTGAAAGCACATAGTCAATCTCAAGTGGTAAATTTCAGAGGCAATAGGTATTGTGTTGTACACTATTAGAGGAGCTTATGGTAATTTTGAGATAAGTTACTCAGAAATACTTTAGTGATGGATAAATCAATATTGTCATGCAAACTGACATGAAAATCTGCCCATCAAATTAAAGATAATTGTCTTTGGAGGATAGGTGTGCAGGACTGCAGAATCATGCACAGAAATCAAGACCTCAAATTTCAAAGGCAATGATTCAAATCATAATACACATGAGTTATGAAAAAAATGTTCCTAAATGTTTATATTTTGAAATTGGTATTCTGTTTTCTTGACAGTAAGTACATGGAATATTAACATGCCACTTAAAAATAACAAGTTCTATCTAAGGCAGTGGTTCTTAATCCTGGTTTTTAAAAAATACCAAGAATTTCTCATGCAGATATTCTGATGAAATTGGTTTGGATCTGAGGAAAAGCTATCTGAATAGTTTAAACTACAAAGGTAATTATATGGATTTGTGAAGTTGAGAACAACTGATTAAAATTTAATAATTTTGAAAATGAATTTCTCACTGTCAATGAGTCTTTGGTTGACCAGTATTGCATGTTTATATCTGTTTTCATGAGAAGCCACTTTGAAGATATCAATATGTAATACAACCACCATTGTTAATTCCCTACCACTTTGTTTGTAACTCTGTATTGTCTGTATTGTGCTTGTGATATGTTGTAAAATGTTGTATGTCTGTTAATGTTTCCCTCCTTTTATCTTTAAAATAAAAAAAAAGAAAATGAATTTCTCCCTATAATTCTGCAAGTTAAACAATTATAGCAATTTCCATAAGTGGAATTTATACATGTGTGTTTAAAATAGTTCCTGTACTTATTTTTTTTGTCTTTGTTTTTTCCCCAACTAAATCATAATGAGACCTAACAGAGTAATGAATCCCATTTGCCTTTAGGCAGCAGAAATAAGAGAATTACAATCCATGTATCCAGAAGATTGATGTGGATCTACTAATATCACATAAAGGTTGGCACTGAAGCCTGGGTTTTGGAGGTTTTGGGTGCTAATGTTCTCAACTCTAAATGTGAGTGTTTCTCTCACCCACAAGTTAACACTAGCTGTTATTTAACAGTATAGTCAATAGTATTTACCAAAAAAAAGAGAATACATCTAGTGTAAACTCATTAAGCTTTTTAAATTTTCTTCCAAAAAATGGAGTTTTATTAAAATGATATATATCCATGCTTTCTGAAGAATATTCCTCCAGAAGTTTTACTCATTTAATCTTTATTACAAATCATGCAGTAGATTCATTCAAGGTATCTGAGTTGCATACAGCACTATATTTTTATTAATATATGTTTGCAATGCATTCTGTAGTTATATTCCTCTGAGGGAATAATATTCAGAAAAAATAGTAAAGGATGGATTGTCATCATGTCACTAGAGAAAAATGTTTTCCCACCACCCACCAAATAAGGGGGAGAATAATTTTGCTCACCAGATATTTATGGGGTTGACACAAACAAAATCATACAAAATAAAATAAAATTTAAAAGTGTGCATTATGATTTCATTGCTAACCAGTCATCGACAGGTACAGTATAGACCAATGTCACAGTGCTGGTGCATGATATCATTAATTATATGCAGTTAATTTAACTACAGTTCTCCAAATTTGAAGGCCACCAAAGGCCAGGATGATATAAGTAATATATTGAATGATTTTAAAATTATAAGCAATGTTTGACTGACCACTTCCATCCCTGAAGAAGGGAAACAGGGAAACATAGAAATGATAAAACCCTTGAATAAGAAGCTTATATAATCATGTGTCCTAATTATACATTTTTAACTTTAATTTAGTCTACAGACTTTACAAGTTGAGTTTTAAAATATTTTCTACTTTACATGAATTTGTACCATTGTCAGAATGCAGTAAGGTACTTTAAGTCTTAATTTCCTTTAATTAGAATTTTTTTTTCTTAAAAAGGAGGGATTATTTTGTCCCCCTTTCCTTCTGCAAAAAGTAAGGTGTATTTGAAGTGAATGAGGGCTTCTTATGTCTAACATTCCTAGACATTATTTAGTATCTAAACTACATAGATACAGAAAGAGGAAAATAACACAGAAACCAATAATGAAAGAGTTCCAAGAAGATATTGTTTCTCACAACTGAGAAGCATTGCTGAAGGTGTACAGATCCCAAGTATAAATTCTTCATTTGTAAATACTTGTGTGAAAAATATATACAGAATTCTGTGTATGGTGGACCACACTTGTAGTTTCAGAACTCTGGAGGTTGAGACAGGAGAATCACTTGAGCCAACAGACCAACCTGGGCAACATATCAGAGATCCATCAAAAAATCCCAAAACAATAATATGCAAGTATGGTGTTTCCATACAGCTTGTGGGTTTTTCTCTTAACCCAGAAAGAATTACAGACTAGGGAGTCCAAAGAGGACTGAGCAAAAATATTTTATAGTAGAGTGAAAACAGAAAGAAGCACTTATTGTAAAGTGAAAACAAAAAGCCCCCAGGAAGGTAACCGTGGGCTAGACCTGAAGGGCTCGCCAAAGGGACTCCCAATTTAGAGCTTTTATACTGAAAAAAAAAAAAAAAAAAGACTTCATCGCTAAAACAATCAGTATAAACACAAAGAAGACATTCTTTAGAGGGATATGAATGTCTCGTTCCTGGGCAGAAAAGGAATCCTGTCAATCCAATGAGGGCTTTTTTAATGAGCTTTCAGGTATCCCAGCCTTTGTCATCGACACGTCATTCGTTGAATCTTTCAGACTCCCACTTTGGCATGTCTTTTCTCTAGTTGCCTGGTACTGCCTGGACCAGGACCCTCCCCTTCAGTCCCTCCCCTCATGGGCCAGTGTTACTCTAAGAAATGTTCTCACCCTTCCACAGGACCCTGATCTTTCTCTGCAGATTCTCTTGTTAGGTCAGGAAATGCTGCCCAAACCCTAGAAAATGGAAACTAAACCAAACCTTACCTGAAGAACGCTTTCATTCTCCCCAGGTCTCTCTTTATCTCCCTACTTCATTTTGTCAATTTATTTTAAAATTAAAAGAAGGAAAATATATTAACAAACAGACATCCATTTACAAAATAGCATAAGAACAATACAAGAAATACAGAGTTACAGACAAAGTGGTAGGAAATTAACAATGGATGTTGTATTGTGTATTGATATCTTCAAAGTGGTTTCCTCAGGAAAACAAATAGAGATATGCAAGATTGATCAAATGAGTAATCATTAAGTGTTCCTTTTAGTAAAGAGATAGAAGTCAGTAGCACAACTATGTTAGCTATCTTGTATATACATACATACATACATAATTTCCCCTTCTTTCTTTTCCCTTTTCCCTCATACAGAGTGAAAAAGATGTCTGTTTCTTTCCTTTTCCCATCTTCTTTTCTCTTTCAAAGGCAATACAGAAGCACATCCACTACAGTTCTTAGAACTCCATCACCAGAAACTCAAACACACAAACCTGCTGTCCATCCTCCTTTCACTCTTCCTGTCCATGAGCCCGGTCATGGCCCTTGGGAATCTCCTCATCATCCTGGCCATCAGCTCTGACTCCCACCTCCACACCCCCATGTACTTCTTCCTCTCCAACCTGTCTTTGGCTGGCATTTGTTTAGTCTCCACTGTGGTCCCATAGATGATGTGGGCATCCAACCTCACAACAGAGACATCTCCTACATGGGCTGCCTAACACAGATGTCTATTTTATCCTCCTTGGCTGTATGGATCGTATGCCTCTGATTCTGATGGTCCATTGGTATAGGGGAAGTGGTAGATGTCTGATATGCCAAGTTCATGTTCTCTAAAATCAAAGAATGAGTTCTAGGAACAGTGGAGATTAGGAGTAGGAACGATTTATTGAGAGAAAGAAACCTTCTGTCTAAGAGGGACCAAAAGAGGATCCTGATCCTTCTTAAGGGTATGTTATTGAGCAAAGCCATGAGGTCAGACAGGTTTGAGGTTGGACAAAATTATATTCAACTAATAAGATTACAAGTATAGCCACTTAGGTAACACTGATCCAATGGGGAGTCACAAAGTGGGAAAAAAACTATGGTCATCAATAAGACTACAAGTATAGCACATAAGTAATATTGATTAAATGTGGATCAAATGGGGAGGCCAGTTACTTAGCACATGAAAGGGACATGGACTTTCTGGGAAGGAATGGGTTAAGACAGTTTTGTTCCCCCATCCAAGGTGATTGGCGCATATTTAGAATATCAATCACTGCCATTTATCCCTAGGGATAAAATGTGGGTGTAGTCATTCCTCTTTGCCCTGAGGTCTGAACTTCAAGGACTATGCCTCCACACAGAGTTGTCTTCTGCCCTACCTCTGGAAGACCCAGCCCTGTCTGACTGCTGATATTTCTAAATAACTTAACTATCTATAATACCATGACTAGCTTGTGGTTATTTGTCACTTTCTCAACTACTCACTCAGTATGAGAATACCAGCCTCTGTGGCTTCTTAGTTTTGTTTAGCTTCTTAGAATCCCTGTTATACCATTTGATTATTTTCAAAAGTCAAGGATCTAGAAATTTCCAATTTCTTCTGCAACCCTTCTCAAGTCCTTAATCTTTCCTATTCTGTTACCTTGTCAATAAAACAGTAATGTAGTTTGTCAGTATTGTGCATGTTTTTTTCTCACTGTATGGATCATTTTCTCTTATTATAAAATCGTTTGCTCTATTCCAATAATGCAGTCATCAAATGGGAATTATAAACCATTCTCCACCTATGGATCTCACCTAAGAGTTGTTGGCCTATTTTACAGAAGACACTTTGGAGAGTATCTGAGTTCAGGTGTTTCAAATTGTCTCAGAAACAGTCTGAGGGCCTCAGTAATGTACGCCATGATCACTTCTGTGCTGAATCCCTTCATATACAGTTTGAGGAACAGGAATATTGTAAACACCCTATGGAGGCTCGGTAGTATAAACTCAGGAACTATGGAATGCATCTGATGGATAGTTTGGAAAAGGCAGTGAAATTTACCATGTAGACATAAATCCTGCCTTTCTGGCACCATTATTTTTCTAGTGTCATGGCTTTAATTCTTCATGATATCTAGTGTTGGTTGCCAACATTTGGAAGAAGAATGAATGCAGAGTTTTGAAAATGAAAATGCAGTTTCAGTTTGGAAAGATGAAGATTTTGGGAGATGATTGGTGGCGATGGTTTCATAACAATGCGAATGTAATTAATGCCATTTAGCTGCAAGGTTAAAATGGCAAACTTTCATTATGTTTATTTTACCAAAATTAAAAAATAGATATAAAAAAGCAGATACATTTATGAAAAAAGAAAGGAAAATAACCAATGCATAGCAGCCACAAGTATTCTCCTGAGTAGAGAGAGAACCAAAGTCATTTCTGGAAATTAATTTTCTACTCTCCTTCCATTAATGTTAGAAAATCCCCAGAGATTATGATAATTTGTCTGAAATTGGACAATTATAAACTGTGTTCATAGAGCCTACAAGGTTATATACTAGTAGGTAATCAATCTCTGGTCTTCAGTGAGCTGTCTTTCCAGCCCTCTAGTTTGATGGCTCCAGTCCAGGTGACACCATACTGCTCCTTTTGGTTCTCTACACTGGGAAGATCCCACCTGAGGTTGAATTCCTACTAACCCTGAGAACAGATCCTTATCCTTCACTGGACACCATACAGGATCTGCAGTCTTTTATCATGTCACAGCCGAGAAACAGCCCAAAGCAGTAAGTGATGAAGGAGAGGGATCGAGAGAGGACCATGAGCAGTATTTCTTCTTATCACAGGGACAATCATGTAATTTGGGTAGACAAATGGCAGAATACATATTTATAATTTTAACTGTGAGGACTGTGGTATTTATCTAGGTATTTATGATGAGGGTCCTAAAATTCTCAAAGTTTTGCTTTCCTCCAACACTGATTCTATTTCCCATAGACAATGCATCCATGTTAGCAAATAATGGACATTTAAGCTGTTTGCAAAGCATTCCAAAAGAATTATGAAGGTGATGAGGAGGAGCCTTCAGATGAAGACAGTCTCCTTAATATCAAGAACAGTTACTGAGTCACTCCTGAGGGTCAGGTCCTGAGCTATGTGTTCTATGTAGATTGCTTCAATTCATCTGCATAGTCTTCTCTATGCTACAGATGCCACATTATTTTACTTTACAGAAGAGAAAAGGACAGAGCATTTTGATGTAATTTGTCATAGGTGCTTTGTTTGAAAACACTGAAGCCATGTTTAAATGAAGCTGTCCAATTAGAGCCACAAGGCACCTAAGCATGAGAATGCTGGCAGATTATTCCCTTGAAAAATCAGACATCGACTTCCTTCGGTCATTCCAGGAAAAATCCCCTTCATCATTGTGTAGTTTTTGGAATTTCCCGACAGATCAAGGAGGAAGCAGTGGGTGACATCAGCTTCATTCATTTTAGGAACTGTAGCCACTGAACACAAAGATTAAAGAAAGAGTAGACAGGTGGCAACCCAGCACACATACCACTCTTTCCTCATTCCAGAATACCCTTGACCTCTCCATATCCTCCCACAATATTGTAATCAGCCCATTCAGCCTCCAAAGGAGACTAAAGCCCACATCTCCATTTCCTTCCTACACTGGAAGGGAGAGGAAGTTTTAAAATGTAGTTGGCATGCAGCTAAGGCCTCTGGACCTATTCTTAAACTACTGTGGTGTTGGGAGACAAGGAAATAGATTAGGGAATCCTATCCAGTCACTGACAATTTTATTTTGATGGGAGCTTTCTTCCCACTTATTATTTCTTGAGCACAGGGGACAGTGTTAGTATCTTTGAAAATCAGAGTCTGAGGTGACTTCTTGCTAAGACAACTGCATTGAGCACAGATCAAATAGAGATCACTCAGTGATTAATTTATGTTGAATGTATAAAATGGGAGCAAAAACGTTAAACAATTAGTGAGGGTAGGATTAATCTTCACACCATTCAACTAACATTTCTTGGGATCTGAAGTTGCTCTTCACCTATTTCTGCAATGTTCTATTTCAGTTTTGTCCTTCTGTGGGTATATTCCTGTGTATTTGGAGAGGAATAACTAACTCTCATTTTTTATTTCTCATAACCTACAATGTATTGATACAATGAAGTGTCAAAAGCAAAACCATAGCCGGGCGTGGTGGAAGACTCCTACAATTGCAGCTACTTGGGATGCTGTGGAGAAATAGGAGAATTAAAAATTCAGTCAGCTGAGGTAACTTAGCAAGGTCTTGTCTAAAAAAAAGGTGATAGAAATGTAGCTCAATATACTCTAGATTTCATGCCAACCACTGGAAAAACAAACTATAAATTGAATAGTTCCTTCCTTTGTTTGCAAATCCTGGCCATAATCAATGTGGCTTCAACACACTTGGTGCTTTCCTGTCTTCACTTTCATCCTATTATACAAATACCATGACTAATATTTTCATAGGCACAAGACAGCAGAAGAGATACAAAGAGAATGTAAGGGGAAATCTTATTGTTCAGGCTGAGAACTGTTTTAAACCTTCACATCTTTCTGAGGCTCTGGCACCATTTGCTAACTTTATTTCTCTGTTTAATTTTTTAAAATAATGACAATGCTGACAACATATTTATTTCTTGTTAAAATTTTACTGTTATACATTTTTTGCTAGTGGATAGTACACTCTATTTCCATTAATTTGAGCAGAGATGAGGAGAAATTGCATGCCTTGTACATAATGTAGCAAGTCAATATGCAAGACTGAAATCAGTCTCTCTCTCTCTCTTTCTCTCTGTCTCTCTCTCTCTCTCCTTTCCTTCCCCTTCCTTCCTCCCCTTTCTTTCCTTCTTTTCCTTCCTTTCATTTCTATACTGGCTATTTAACCCAGGGCCACATCCCCAGCCCATATTTTATTTTTTATCTTGAGACAGAGTCTTGTTAATCAAGTTGGGCTCAAAGCTGTCATACTCCTGCCTCACCCACTCAGAGTGCTGTGATTACAGCTGAAATGTTCCTTTATTGGAGTCAAATGAAAATACTTCTTCAATATAAAATTTGTAATGTAAAACTTCTTGGGTAGTTGTCTTGAACAGATTATTACTACAAAGACTTATTTGTGATAGTAAATATGCGAAAGTATATTTGTGATAGTATATATTAAGAAAAAGAGGATATACATGATAGGGACTGATGTTTATTTGAACAATAAATACAGATGAATAATATTAGTATTTTTATTTTAAAGAGAAAAGAACAAAAGCAAAATAACAAAAACAAAGACATAAATGAAACCACATAAAAACAATAAAAATGATACAGAATTTCAAAACAAGGTGATAGGAAATTAACAACGGTTGTTGTGCCACATATTGTTATCTTCTCTAGCCTGGAATGCTAATATTAGTACTGACTGTGCAACAATTGGGGAAGTGAAACAAATATCCCCTAACCACATGCTGTAGTATATATCAATTTTACCTGTGTGAAATGGGAAGAGGAACAAGAATTTTGGAAGGATTGCTGTAATAATGAATTTGCAAGCTAAATGATGTCTTTCTCTCAGATAAAGTTGAGCATCACTTAAGCATTAGAAATAGATGTGTGTACTTCAGAGACTGAAAAGCACAGGTCAATATAAAGTAATACATTCCAGGAGCAATAGATGTTGTGCTGTGCACCATTTCGATAAGCTTCAGGCACTTTTGTTTTGGTTTGGTTTGTTTTGGTTTTGTTTTTTATTTTAAAAATAAAGGAATGAAAATGTATTAACAAACACACATACATTTACAAAATAACACAAGAACAATATAAGCAATGCTGAATTTCAGACAAGGTGATAGGAAATTAACACTGGTTGTTGTGTTCTATATTGATACCTTCAAAGTGGTTACTCAGGAAAACAAACAGAGACACGCAAGACTGATCAAATATGTAATCATTAACTGTTCCTTTCAGCAAAGCGACAGAAGTCAGTAGTTCAACTATGTTAGCTATCCTGTATATACATTATATACATAATTTTCCCCTTCTTTCTTTTCTCTTTTCCCTCATCCCGGTTGCTCTTTACTTTTGAACAGTTTCCTTTCATTTCACAATGTCCATCATACCTCCTAATTTTTATTCACTCTTTCAGGTTCTCACACTAATGAAACAACACGTTGTTTACACATGCAGGTCTGATTTATTTCACTTATGAGTATGGTCTCTAGTTGTGACCATTTAAGCTCTAGGTACTTTTAGGCCTAAGTTCTTAAGAAAATTCTATAAATGTATAGATAAATATTGTCATAGAAACATTGATAAGAAAATCTACCTACCAAGTTCCTGACAGTAACTGCCTTGAGGAGCAAGTGTTTGAGAGAATGAAATCACACAGAGATACCAAGAACTGAAATTTCATAAGTATTTGTTATAAAGCAAATATTACTAATTGTTTATATTTTTTGAATTGATATTTATATTGACAATAAAAACAGGTAATGTTATTGCAACATTTCTAAATGTCAGGATATACTATAAGGCAGTTGTTCTCAACCCTGGTCGAAGGAAAAAACCACAAAGAACTTCATATGCACATATTCTGATAATATAGGTTTTGCTCTAATGCCAAGTTGCTGAATATATTAAAGCTTATACAGTAAATATATTGATATATGAGATTGAAAACCATGATTTCAGCAGTTTTACACTTTGAAAATTTTTAAACAAGGCTATAAATGTTTATTAGATATACCTAGTGTATGTTGTGCTGCTATATGTGTCCTCAATAGTTCCTGTATTTTTTTACTTTGTCTTTTATCATGATGAAATAATATTTAAATCTGACCAAATGATGAAGCCAAGTTGCCTTCATATAACAGCAATAAAAGAACTATAATCCGCCTGCCTGGCAAGCGCAAGGTCGTGAGTTCGGTTCCCGGTACCGGAGAAAAAAAAGAACTATAATCCACATATTAAGAAGATTGAGGAGAAAAGCTATTAAATTATTATTAAAACATTGGGATCCACACCTGGACTGTGGAGGCGTTCCTGGTGTTAAAGTCCCTAACTGCATATGAGATGGGTCATGTTCAGAAAAATGGTATTATCAGGCCCATATAGAAAATTGTATTTTAGAAAAGAAAGCAACCAAGAAAAGAACAAAGGCCCACTTTCTCCACAAGATACTTATGAGATTGATGCAAATAAAAATGCATAAAATAAAGGAATTTTACAGTGTTTAACATTTCATTATTTTAAGCAATCTGCAGATGGATGGCTAAAAAATGTAGTACTTATATATAATGCAATATTACTCAGCCACAAATAAAGACGAATTTGAATTATTTGTAAGAAAATGGACGGAAATTTTTGCACATTAAAAGAAATCATCAACAGAGTAAAAAGAAAACCCACAAATTGGGAAAAAAATTTAGCCAACTGGCTCGCAAAGGACTCCTATCGAGCGTATATAAAGAATTTTAAAAATCAGCTCCCTGCATTCAAAGACCCGATACAAAAATGGGCATCTGAGATGAATAAACACCTCTCGAATAAAGAAATACAAATGGTAAATAAATACACGAAAAAATGTTCAGCATCATTAGCCATTTGAGAAATTCAAATTAAAACAACACTGAGATTCCATCTCCCAGAAGGAATGACCACCATCACCAAATCAACCAACAACAAATGCTGGTGGGGCTGTGGGGGAAAAGAAACCCTTCTCCATTGTTGGTGGGAGTGTAGACTGGCACAGCCACTATAGAAATCAGTCTGGAGATGCCTCAGTAAACTAGGATTACAGGTCCCATTCAACTCAGCTATCCTTCTTCTGGGTATTTGTCCAGAAGAATTAAAAACATCATATCACAGCAATATATGTGCACCCATATTTACAGCAGCACAATTTGTAATAGCTAAATTGTGGGAACAACACAAATGTCCATCAACTGAACAATGGATTAAAAAATATGGTATTTTTATACAATGGAGAATTACTCAACTGCAAAAAGAGAGATAAACTTGAGGTTTTCATAGGTAAATGGATGCAACCAGAGACCATACTCATAAGTGAAATAAACCAGACTCACATATGTAAGCATCATATTACCTCCCTAGTGTAAGAACCTGAAAGAGTAATAAAATCTGAAAGGTACAATAGATATTATGAAAGGGAAAGAAATTGCTCAAAAGGAAAGAACAACTGGGATGAGGGAGAAGAGAAAAGAAAGAAAGAAGGAAGGGGAAAATATATATATATCTATATAAGATAGCTAATGTAATTATACTGCTAAGTTCTATTGGTTCATTGAAAATAACAGTTAAAATTTAACTGTTTGATCATTCTTACATGCCTAGATCTGCTTATCTTAGTAACCACTTTGAAGATAACAATATGTAATACAACAACCATTGCTAATTTCCTATATCCTTGTTTTAAAATTCTGTATCATTTTTATTGTTTTTATATTGTTTTGTTTACTTGTTTGTGTCTTTGCTTTTGTTATTTGTTTTTGGGTTTTTTTTGTCTTTAAAATAAAAGAAAATGGATGAATCTTAAGATCATAATTATAAATGAAATAAGTCAGTCACAAAAGGTTAAGTATCTCATGGTTTCTCTAATATGAGAGATCCACAACATAAATAATTTAAACAGCAAAGTGAAAGAGCCACGTTAAGAGACAGCAAGGTGAACCCTGTAGAATGGGAAGGAGGTCTGAGGCAAGCGGGGAGAAGAGAGGCCTGGGGGAGGGGGAGTAAAAATGATCAACATGGTAACGTATATATGTTAGTTCACCAAATGAATTGCTACATATCACAAATATATACTAATAAAATTTTTAAAAGCTTACCAAAAAATTTAAAGATGTAACATACACTAATGTCACTTTTTGGAATGTGATGTCATGGATATATGTAGTTACAGACCATATTTCTCAAAGTTTGAAGTCTACCAAACCCAAAGATGGAAGTAAGACATGGAATAATTTTGAAAAGATAAACAATGCTAAGTATTTGCATCCATGAAGGAAGGAAATCAGAAAAACTAGGAATGATAGAACACTAGAAGAAAACTGGCACAAAAATGTATATTCCACTCATGAACTATCAAATATATATATTCTGTATCAAATGACTTTGTAACATTGTTTTAGAATATTATAAGGCCTATTCGACTGATTATTAATTCCTTTAAAATAAATTTTATTTTTCAAAGGAGTACTCAAAGAGGTAAAAATATTTACTTCTCTTTTTTTCCCCTGAAGAGTAGGGCATAGGTCCCTATAATCATGAGTTTGGTGTCTAGTTGTTTTGGTCTTCTGACTTTGGTGAGCATCTCTAAAGTAAGTATACATATAAAGATGTGAGTAGTACTGAAATCAATATTGGAAGAGGTCCAAGAGTTGGCTTTGCTACAAATGTGAAATATTACTAAAAGTATATGGACCTGAAGTCTGAATGCATTAATTATGAATATTTGAATTAAGAATCTTTGTAGAATGCCTATTTATATTTCCTTTTTCCCAGTCTCTTTTCTAATTCAAAGGTGTCCTAGCAATATAGAAGCACAAAATTCAACACAAATCTCAGAATTCCAACTCATGGGCTTCTCAGAGGATCCAGACCTGCAACCCATCCTCTTTGGACTGTTCCTGACCATGTACCTGGTCACATTGCTGGGGAACCTGCTCATCATCCTGGCCGTCAGCTCTGACACTCACCTGCACACCCCCATGTACTTCTTCCTCTCCAACCTGTCCTTGGCTGACATTGGTTTCACCTCCACTACGGTTCCAAAGATGATTGTGAACATCCTAACTCAAAACAGAGTCATCTCCTATGAGGGCTGCCTCACACAGATGTCTTTTTTTCTCATTTTTGGACGCATGGATGACATGTTGCTAACTGTAATGGCCTATGACCGATTTGTAGCAATCTGCCATCCCCTGAGATACCAAGTCATTATGAACCTTCACATCTGCATCTTCTTAGTTTTGGTGTCTCTTTTGATTAGCCTTTTGGAATCCCAGCTACACAATTTGGTTGTCTTACAGTTTATTGACTTCAAGGATGTAGAAATTTCTAATTTCTTCTGTGATCCTTCTCAAATCCTTAGTCTTTCCTGTTCTGATGCCTTTACCAGCAACATTATCATATATTGTGTTGGTGCCATATTCGGCTTTTTTCCCATCTCAGGGATCCTTTTCTCTTACTATAAAATTGTTTCCTCTATTCTGAAAATCCCGTCATCAGGTGGGAAGTATAAAGCTTTCTCTACGTGTGTGTCCCACTTGTCAGTTGTCTGCTTATTTTACGGAACAGGCTTTGGAGTGTACCTTGGGTCAGCTGTGTTGCATTCTTCAAGAAATAGTACAGTGGCCTCAGTGATGTACACAGTTGTAGCCCCTATGCTGAACCCTTTCATCTATAGCCTGAGAAACAGAGATATTAAAAACACCCTGAAGACACTGTACAGTAAAATTTTCTAGATAGATGACATGTGGATAGATATTTAATTTGGCAAATGAAATAATTTTTAATACCCATGCTTGTAAATCCTATCTCCTTGGTTGGTCAACTATTTTTGTAGTGTAATAGCTTTATTTTTTCATGATGTTTCATAGTGAGATGGTGGCTGGCAGGTTTGGGAAGAGACTTTAGAGGGGTTTTTTTAAATGTATATGTGATTTCAGTTTGGAAAGATGGAGAATTTTTGGAGATAAATGGTTGTGAACATTTCCTAATCATGTGAATGTAATGAGTGTCATTAAACTGAACCTCACAGAAGTTAAAATAGAAAATTTTGTTATATGCATTTTTTTCACAATAAAAGTATAAAGCAGACAGATTTTCAATGAAAGAACAAAAACACAACCATGTATAGTGTCCATGAATGTTCTCCTGAATAAAGAGTGAGCCTAAAGCTTTTCTGGAAATTAAATTTCTGTTGTTCATTTCCTTCCTCTCGTGTTAGGAATTCCTCAGATATTAAGATAACTTGGCTGAAACTGGATAATTCTGAGCTGTGTTCCTTGAAGCCACACAATTCTGTAATCACAAGCAGTCAGCCTTCAGCTTGATGGTTCCAGGTCAGGGGTCTATATTCTTTCCACTCCTTCCACGGTTGTTTGCATGAAGAAATTCCAATCTGATACCCCACCCAAGTCAGTCCAGAGGACAACATCTGGGTCCCCATTGAGAAGCTGGCAGGGAAGAAGCACGAGACCTGCACTTTCTGGTCATGTTCCAGAACAAATGCAGGACAACTCCATCAGTGCCGAAAGCAATGATGCCTTAAAGAAAGATTGTCAGGACCAACATTTTCTCTTCTTTGGGGCAGACATGGCACCTAACAGAGCAAGATGAAAGGATGCCAATGCATAAAATTTTAGCTATGAAGCTTTTGCTGTTTAATTTCTTGGTTGTGGTTGAGTCCCAGAAATCTCATTCAATGTTTTGGCTAATGTTTACATGGATTCTACCTCCCACGGGATTCTCACTCATGACAGTAGAAAATGAGTGCCCTAAACTCTTTTGTAAGCACTCCAGAAAGATTATTACAGATGCAATATGGACAATAAGGATGACAATTACCATAACATTATAATAAACCATTGTTGAGATTTCTGAGTGCCAGGTGCTGAGTTATGCATTCTATGTAGATTTTCCCAGTTCACCTGCTTCAACTTCCCAAATTATGAGTGCCACATCATTTGTATTTTTCAGAAAAGACAGGAGGATAGCACTCTGTGTAATCTGTACTAAGTTTTTAGAAAAGCATTAGGCCATGTTTGAATTGAACTATCTGATTATGTACACTGACCATCATATTGGGAATCTCTAGGCATATTGTCCCATTGACAAACAGTCATTTAATTTGTCACTCCAGGAGGAGAATTATTGCTTCCTGTAAGTAGCAGAAGATAGCTGCAGTTGGCACCTACTGCATCTCCTGTGGGAAAGACAGCTGTCAATCACAGACAACAATCCTAGAAATACCAGGCATGTAAAAATTCAACCCAGGTTGTTCTCTTTGGTTCCACTTCAGGATTTCATTGAAACTGAACACATCCTCATCTTTTGCAGTAAGTAAGCTAATGAGTCTCATAATGAGCCATCAAGTCAGGAAATTATAAAGTGATTAAAATCACGTCTCAGCCAAAGCTGTGGCTGAGACTCTGAACCTCTGCATATTGCTTACTACTGGGTGAGAAGCAATGAAATGGCATGTCAGCCCCAGAGACTGACAGTTTAACTTTGAGCCTGTCTGCTTCTGTCACATACATCAGGTTGTTAGCATCTCTGAGACTCAGCATTGTCATCTGAGTTGATTTCTACTTGACACAGCTGCAATGAGCAAGTTTTGAACAGTAGTATGTGCTCCTTAAGTGATTACCATGTGAGGTATACGAGATGAGGGATATTAACATAAACTAAATTATTAATAGTAATTATTTTGTTCTTCACATTCATAAAATATCTTCTGTTTCGGAGTTACCATTTTCCTACTTGTATAACAGGACATTTAATTTCTGCCCTAAATTAAATATATGGTGTGCATTTGAGAAGGAATGTCTAATTCATTTAAATCTTTGAATCCCCAGAGCCCATGGTGTATTCAGAGAGTGGAAACTTCAAGAAAAAAAAACCCTGATATAAGTTGAATAGCCCATTCCTTGGCTCATAAAAATTATCCTTAATCGGTGTGGCTTCAACAATTCTGGTGCTTTCCTAGCTGCACTTTCATCCTTGGTATGTGTGTCCCATAGAGCTGGAAACAAGATAAAGTGGCTCCTGCCTGTGTGTCTGTCATGAGCATATGAGACCTAGAATTCCCTTTAACACCAACGACATTCAGTTATTCAAAGGCCATGGCAGAAAGTTTCTCTCTTTTTTGTATTGTTATTGGTATATGTTTCTGACACATAATCGTATGCATCTTGGGGAACTGGTACATAGACATGTTGCATATAATCATTTTTAGTTCCACTTCCCCTCCTGGTCACTCCCCTTCTCCCCACCCCCAGGTCCCATTCTTGTCTCCACAAAATATGCCTCCCTCTTTTCTATCATCTTTTTAATTTATCTCTTTAAATTATTGATCAATCTTTCATTCTTACATCTGGTAATCTGAGCAACTCCGTTGAAAATAACAATATGTAATATAACAACCACTGTTAATTCCTATCATTTTGTTCTGAAACCCTGTATCATTTTTATTATTTTTCTGTTGTTCTGCTTTTGTCTGTGTTGTTAAAAATTACAGCCATGGGATGGGACATTCTAAGTATCCGAAGTACCCACATCAGAATAGTCTACTCTCCGGTCCCATGGAAACCATTGGAATACAGCTGGAAAAAGCCAAAAACCATAACACCCACACTTATAAGTCCAGGCAGCCTGGTTTTGTGAAAATTATACATTCATGGCTTTAATTTTTTATAATTTTTTCATAGTATAATACTGGTAACACGAACAGGGAATTTTAAAATTGATTATAAATTCTCATTTTGGAAAATGAAAAGCTCCGATAGGTGTATGATATTGAATGTTTCACAAAAATGTGAATGTAACTACAGTTATGGAGGTGTGTACTAAACACTTAAAATTGCAACCTTTGGGCCAAGGATATAGCTTAGCGGCACAAGTGCCTGCCTGTCTGATTCCCAGTAACAAAAAAAATTGCAAGTTTTTCTACAAGAAGGAGCAAATGGTAATTTAAATTTAGATATAAATGAGAGAAGTGATTAGAATACACCAGTTTTACCTGAGTACAGGAAATACCCAGACCCTTTTATGGACACTTGTTTTTTTTCTCTCTATGTTTCCTTTTGCGTCAGGAAGTCCTTAGAGACTGGGATGGCATAGACCAATTTGAGTAATTATATGCTCTATGTATTGAGCCTGTGCGGTCACATAGCTGTCAATAATCAGCTTGCAGCTCCAACCCTTCAGTTTGGTGACTTCCGTCCAATGAGCACCACACCCGTGGCTCAGCTCCCATGGCTGTCTGCATCAGGAAGCTCCTGTCTTTGCATTAATTTGAATTCAGAGGGCAGAGCCTTAACTTTCACCGGGTAGCAAGCGTAGGAGAATCCTTTGATGTTCTCTCCTTGACTATGGCTGCAGAGAAGCAGCATAATTGAGTAAGTGCGGAGGGACCGCATGGACCTGGGAAGGGTCATTGAAAGTAGAGTTTCCTTACCATAAAGACAAGGGGACAGTTTGGGTAGACAGATAGGAAGGTACAAATATGAAAAATACCAGTTCTGGGAAATAGAAATTGTATGTTTTTGTAGTGGGAAAAGAATTATTATTTCAAATTTGCTTTCTACACACCCTGTTTCTGCTTCCCAACGGTGTCTCATCCATAGCTGAAGAAAAAGTGCCCTTCTGCAGCATTTCCTAAGCACTGTAGAAGGATGGTGAAGGTGATGATAAGGACGTGGAGGAGGAGGACAGTGAGCATAGCATCATGAACTGGAGCTGAGGGCTTCCTGTGTTCTACGAGCACTGAGCACTGTGTTCTATGCAGCTCGCTTCATTTCTTTGGTTTTCACTTCTATTGTTATGGTGCTCACATTGTTATTCCGTATAGAAAATGGACCTATTGTTTTAATGAAATCCACAGCAGGTTGATAGGTATTAAAATGTTAAGCCACATTTAAACTGATCTGTCTGATAACAGACACAGGGCATCACATGAGGATTAGTCCTGGCAGGTTGTCCCCTTAACAATACAAACAACCAATTCCCTTTCCTGTTGCTTGGGGAAGGGAGTCCTTTTCCACTGTCCCAGTCCTTTGCAAAGGTTCCTGAAAGATCACAAAACAGAGCAGCGGGAGGCACCAGCTGCATCTACCATAGGAAAGACTGTTATGGATCACAGACAAGCATCCCAGAAAGAATATAGCTTATAAGATGCAAAATGTTACATAGATTACATGTTGAAAATCAGAGAAGTATCTCCCATAGTATTTTATATACCTTTTCACTTGTATAATAGGGAAAGAAGCACAGGTATTTTCAAATGATTGTTATCCTAATAAACTAATCTACTCTGTCAGTATAATTCAGCACTGATTTCTCTGTTGCCACCCTGCAAGATATCTGTGGAGCTTCCCTCATCCTTCTCTGTGCCTGAAATTATTTCACGCAGTCTGAAGTGGGGATATGTCAAGTCTTGATTTCATTCCATTTAGGGAGAGAAGGAGTTAAATGTACCTGAAACACCCCCACGGTAAGACTTCTGAGCCTCTGTGTAGCTGTTTCTGTGGGTGGAAAAACAATGAAAAATTTTAGTGCATTGGACAATTTTTTTTATTTAATTTTTAATCCTTTTATCTCTTACTGTTTCTTGAAACTTATTGCTTCTTGATGCAGGGCATGTTTGATATCTCTGAGGTAGCATTGACTTTAGTGTTGATTTCTCTGCAAAACAGATGCACTAAGGATTATATGTAAGAGGAGTGTTGCATATGGGATAAATGTCTTTAACATTAGAGCAAAATGCAATTTCGATTTCATTATTATTAATCATAAAAAAAATCTTCATACCAATTATATCCTGTGACCTGAAGTTACTCTTTCACTATTTCTGTAACAGGACATTCTATTTTCCTTCGTGTAATTATGTGCATATGTCTGGAGAGGAATGACGTGCTTTTACATCTGATTCCCAAGAGCCTATACCTTGTTTGGACCAGAGGAGGAATCAGAAATAAAACCTCTGTTAAACATTTAAAGGGTTCTTCCTTGAGTCAAAATAATTGCCCTTAGCATCACATAAACACACTTGGTAAGTTCCTGTGTGCATGTCCATCCCCTCCTCGAATACCCCATAGGTGTAGCGACTATTAAAAAAATAGCTCTTGTTTGTGTCTATGTCACAGACACATGGACAAATAATCTATTTATTTGCATCTATATTCATGATTCAGAAACACAGCAGAGATATGTATGGTTAAAAAGGCACAAAGAGAAGGGAGCAGGTGAATGTGTGCCTCGGGATGACAGGCATACAGAGCTTCACATCAGTCCAAGTCCTGGTGCCATTTGAATACAGTTAACTCTATCAGTAACTTCCTCTTTGGATAAGGAAGGAACTCCTTATTTTAAAACCAAAAATTTACAATGACTGCATGCTTTATTTCCGAACGTTCTTTAGTTGCTACAGATGGGGAGATGGTTGATGTTCTCCGTATTTTCCTTAAGCAGTATAAGCGCAGTCAGGAGAGATTCACATATAGTCTGCATATGGTCAGGTCAATGATGCAGGACTAAAGGTTCATTTCCTGAGTCCACTCCCAGGAAGCAGTTTCCTCCATAGCAAAATGTCCATGTTATTCTCTATATGAGGATGAAATTTCTTTGTGTCTTATCTTAACAAAATCATTACTAGACAAACTGCAGGGACATTTTGAATATATCACAAGGATAAGTAGATGTAAGTGATAATGATTGACTTTTTTGGAAAAAATGCAAAATTTTACATATATTATCTGTTGGAAATCAGAGACATATATCCTGACAATATTTTAATATAGATTTTCACTTGTATGATAGGGAAAGCAGTGCAAGAATCTTTAAAAAGATTATCATATTAATAAACTTACAAGTGAAATGAAGAATCTCCTTACAACTGAATAGTACTCCATTGTATAAACATGCCACATCTTTTTTCTCCATTCCTCACTTAATGGGCATTTAGGTTGTTTCAAATTGTGCTGTTATAAGATTTAGCTATTATAAATTGTGCTACTACAAATGTGGGTGTACGTATATCACTGTGTTATGATGCTTTCAGTTCTTCGGGGAAAATACCCAGAAGGGGAATAGCTGGGTCGAGTAGGACCTCAAATCCTAGTTCTTGAGGAATCTCCACACTGATTTCCACAGTGGTTGTACCAGTTTACACTCCCACCAACAGTGGAGAAATGTTTCACAATCCCACCAGCATTTGTTATTGGTTGATTTTTTGATGATAGCCACTCTTTCTGAGGTGAGGTGAAATTTCAGGGTTGTTTCAATTTGAATTTCTCAAGTAACCAATGATGTTGAATATTTTTCATATATTTATTACCATTTGTACTACTCAACTACAAAGAAAGATGAACTTGAGGCTATTATAAGAAAATGGATGAAACTAGAGACCATACTCATAAGTGAAATAAATTAATCTCACATGTATATACATCATATTGTCTCCCTAGTGTATGAGACTGAAAAAATAAATAAGATCCAAAGGGTACATAAATTTTGTGAAAGGGAAAGAAACTGCTCAAAGGAAAGAACAATTAGGATGGGGGAAAGGAGAAAAGAAGGAAGGGGGAAAATATATATATATATATACAAGATATATATATATACAAGATAGCTAAAATCATTTTACCACTACTTTCTATTAGGTCATTGAAAGGAATAGTTAATGTTTACATTATTTGGTCAGTTTTACATGCTTATATCTGGTAATCTGAGCAACTACTTTGAAGATAAAAATATGCAATATAACAGCCACTGTTAATTTACTAACATCTTGTTTTGAAATTCTGTATCATTTTCACTGGGTTTTTTTCTCTTAAAAAAATAAATAATTTAATTTTAAAAACGAAAAATCTCCAGGTAATTGTTTGCATTACTTTAGGAAACTTAAAATCCTTTTCTTTATGTAGCCTACTTTCATTCAATGACAATAGGTTTGTGTTGTACATGATTTACCTGAGCTTTCAGTAATTTTAGGTAATTTTTAAAGAAAACTCAGGAAAAAAATCAATGCTGACCTAAAAACCTTGACAGGAAAATCTTTACATGAAATTCATGATAACAGATTTCTTTAAGGACTGTTTTTAACAAGTGAATGGAATTATAAAGAGATGCTGACTCGTTTCATAGTTAATTTTTCAGTCTCTAAAAACATTAGTTGTTATGTAAACATTCATACATTAGCATGTGGAGTGGTAGTATCAGTGGAGCATTTTTTGAGTGCAAGATAATATTCTAAGACAGTGGTTCCAAACCTGGTGTAAGAAATTTTTTTCAAAAGCTCAAAATCTGGTTAAAGTGATGGGTCTGAGTCTAACGTGTCTGGGTATTTAAAAATGTCATCTGCCTGTCTGTCTATCAATCATCTCTCTACCTATGGATTACTGGTGATGCAAATTAAATATTTTCAAAACACTCATGCAACCATATAAGGTAGTGAATGTCACCCCACTTTATAGATGAGGGGGAATTACTTTACTTACAACTATGTTTACAGTATTTTATATACTTTCCCTTTTGTACGTGAGGTTTCAGGTGTGCAACATAATTTTGTGTAGTTCTTTTTGCAGTTTCCCAACTATAGCATGATCTAATGGAGAAAGTGTCCCAATTTCCTTCATGTAGCTGAAATAAAAGAAATACAAATCATATATCAGGAAAAATTGATGTGAAAATCTGTCAATCAGAATTATCAAGGCTTAAAATGAGTCTGAGAATCAGAATAGAGAATTTTTAAAAAGAGCAAAGAGGTATAAACAGTAAATATTTCAGTGGTATTTTATGGAGTGCTTAAAATCAGAATAGAGAATTTTTAAAAAGAGCAAAGAGATATATACAGTAAATATTTTAGTGGTATTTTATGGAGTGCTTAAAAAAAACCTGTATTCTTGTGCTATTTTTGGGGGGGGGTTGTTTTTGTTTTTGTTTTTTTGTTTTTGTTTTTTTTTTTTTTTGGTTTTTCTCCGGTACCGGGAACCGAACTCACGACCTTGTGCTTGCCAGGCAGGCACTTTGCCGCTGAGCTAAATCCCCAGCCCCTTTCCTTCTTTATTTTTAAGATAAATTTTAAAAATAAAATAAAATAAACCTGTATAAAATTTAAAACACCAGATGTGCTTCTTATAACTTTTTTTAGTCACTGGCAGGTACAGTATACACTAATGCCACATTCCTAGGTATTATGTCATAAGATCATGCACATATTTTAGGATGTGCTATGTAGAAATTTGTGCTCACCATAGGAAAGCAAGAACTTACAATTTAAATAATTTGTACATAACAATGCCTGAGTAAGCTCTTACATACAGGAAAGAGGAAAATAAGAAAACCAAAGAATGTTGAAAGCTTCCTGGGATATAACTGGTTCCATCCATGTATTTTGATTATGAATTATTAACAAATTTAATATTCAGATAAGGTCTTTCTGGATGTGACAGTGATTATAAACATCCTAAGTCAAGGGAAATTGTCCACTTTTCTGAAAATAAAATAAGGTGTACTTAAAAGTTTAGGAGTTTTCTTCAAATGGATTCATGTTCCTTTTATTTATTTATTATTTACATATTTTTAATTAAGTTCATCGGTGCAGTCTAGATATGCATAATGACCACATTCATTCTAGGAAATTTGTATCTGCACATGATATATCTTGATTCTTCTTTTTTGATTTTTAGAAACACCTTTGTATATTTTGCTGGAGTCATAGCATTCTGAATTCAAAGGCTCTAACATTGCCACTAGAATGTCTGTAATGCAGGTGTGCACAGAGTGAGGTGGATAATGCATAATACAATCATGAAGACCTCAGAGAATGGGGTTTATCACACTGATCAATATATTTTAAAGTTTAATATGGGGACACTTTGCTTGTTAATACTTGAATTTATAACATACAGAGAGTCTTGTATGCTATTTATTCATTTCATTTTTCTTACCAATTTTTTGAAAAGGTAATCAAGCACTATGGAAACACATAATCTAACTTATATCTCAGAATTCCATTTCATGGGCTTCTCAGAGGACCCAGACCTGCAGCCCGTCCTCTTTGGATTGTTCCTGACCATGTACCTGGTCACGGTGCTGGGGAACCTGCTAATCATCCTGGCCGTTAGCTCTGACGCCCACCTCCACACCCCCATGTACTTCTTCCTCTCCAGCCTATCCTTGGTTGACATCTGTTTGACTTCTACTATGGTCCCAAAGATGATTATGGACATCCTAACTCACAGGAGAGTCATCTCTTATGTGGGCTGTCTCACACAGATGTCTTTTTTCATCATTTTCGTATCTATGGATGACATGCTTCTGACTGTGATGGCCTATGACCGGTTTGTGGCCATCTGTCGCCCTCTGCGGTATGCAGTCACTATGAATCCTCGTATCTGTGTCTTACTACTTTTGGTGTGTGTCTTTATTAGCCTTTTGGACTCACTGCTACACAATTTAATTGCCTTGCAATTTACTTGCTTCAAGACTGTGGAAATTGCTAATTTCTTCTGCCATCCTACTCAACTCCTTAACCTGTCATGCTCTGATACCTTGATCAAAACCCTGGTCACATATTTTGTTGGTGTCATATTGGGCTTTTTTCCCATTTTAGGGATCCTTTTCTCTTACTGTAAAATTGTCTCCTCCATTCTAAAAATACCAGCATCAGGTGGAAGGTACAAAGCCTTCTCTACCTGTAGTTCTCACCTTTCAGTTGTTTGTTTATTTTATGGAAATGGTATTGGAGTGTATCTTGCTTCAGCTGTGTCATATTCTCCCAGGAAGGGCATGGTGGCCTCACTCATGTACACTTTGGTCACCCCTATGCTAAATCCCTTTATCTACAGCCTGAGGAACAGGGACATCACTAACACCCTGAAGAGGCTCCACAGTTAGAGAGTCTAATCTCATGTTGTTTGCTATCCATTTGAGATGGATTTTTGAAAATGTAGTAAAATTGAATGCTACAAACTCACTGTGAATGTTACCTTATTGGTCATATGATCTCAGAAGACTGATGTCTTCCATTTCTTTTTTTATTCATGTGAGATTCATGGCTGATTGTCGATTGGTGGAATTTAAGTTTTATTCATACAGCTGAAAATTTTCAGTTGAGGAAATGAAAGATGAGTAAAAGATTTGTTTGTACAAAAATGATAATGTAACTAATATTACCAAATTATAATGTAATTAATAGTACCATAGAAACCTGGTTAAAATTACACATTTAATTACGTGTATGAATATGAACAATGGAAATAGAAAGTTGAGGACTGTTTTTTAGACAGCATCTTGCTATATATCACAGGCCAGCTTTGAACTCACTGGGTAGCCCAGGCTGGCCTTTAGCTCAAGTGTACTCCTCTGCCTACTCCTGAGTACTAAGATGACAGGTGTTCACTACCATGCCAGGCTCAGAATATTTTGTAAAAAGAAAAAATTAACAAAATGAGAAGTACAGTTGAGATTCCTCCTCACAGAGGTGAGTTTCATTCCTTTTGTGAACATTCATTTTCTCATTTTTCATCAAACTCCATTAAATTTCAGGTGTCCTTAAAATTTGGCTAATGTGGTCCAATGTGGGTATTTATTAACTGTGTGCATTAAGCTATCACAGTCATATAATAATACATAGTTGTGCAGTTCTTCCAGGCTTTATTTATGATTGTTCCAGTCCAGCTGGCAACATCACTGTCTCCTTCTTCAAGGCATCATAAAGAGAAAGCCCATGTCTATCACTCTTATGTCTCTGGGTTGACCAGGAGCTTTCACTGGTCCTCAACCAGGTTAGGGGTGTGAGCATAATAGTTTTGGACATAACCCAGTAAGACACAGCCTTATTCAGTAAGTGAGAATGTGGAGGGTGGATGGAGAAAGGATTATTGTAACCAATGTTTCCCATCATGAACACACACATGAAAGCATGGGTAGTGAGATGGGCTGATAGAATTGCTCAGTTTTAGCTGTTTGCACTTTGAAGTTTATATTTGTTTGTCATGGAAGAGCCAAAAGTCTCAAAGTTTCCCTTTATGCTCATGTTGATGCAGCTTCTTATAGACATCTACTCCAGAGTAGTACATTTTGGGTGTCTGGAAACTCTCTACTCACCACCTCAGAAAGGATTATGGGTATAATGATGAATACAACCACAGCATTGTGAACCAACATTGAGAAATTTGTGAATGGCAGCATCTGAGTTATGTATTTATGTAAATTGTTTCATTTTATCTGCACAATATTTCTTAAGTAAACCTCTTATATCATTATATATAAAAGTTAAAAAAGAGCACAGCATTTTTGTGCAATCAACTACAGTTCTTGGGCAGAAAACAGGGAAGACGTGAATACACAAGGCTGTGTGATGACACACACAGGGCATCATGCCAGGTGAATCCAGCATACAGTTCCTTTGACAACTCAAGCACCCATGTCTCTTCCCTACCTCTCCAGAAAGGATCCCCTTTCTCATGGTGCTCTATTCTTTGGAGTTCCAGGTAGCTCCCAGGAGAGAGGATCGATGATGTCTCTTGCATCCAATTTCTGAAATCAGAGGCAAAGATCAAAGATAGAAAAGATCCACAATAGTTGGGGCTTATTCTTTTTCTGAACTCTAGGCTTTTCTGGGAGCTATCCATGTTCTACTGCAATCTCTTATTCATTATTCTCAGTATAAACAGGAGAAATAAAGTTAGAGTTTGATTTCATTCATCCTCAGGAAACTGGAAATAGTTTAAAGTTCCTCAGACAAAACTGTGATTTAGATCATGGGAGAGGCCTTGGAGACAGCAGGAGGGGCCTGGACACAGGAAGCCTCGGTGAGTGGGCTGGGAACGCAGAACCTCCAGCTCCACCCACAGCTGCCACCATCTGGAGGGGCTTTGGATGCTGGAAGCCTCAGTGTGTTGCCTTGGAACTCAGATCCTCTGGCCCTGTCCCCCACCACCAACTTCCAGAGGAGCCTTGGACACGGGAAGCTTCAGGGAGCTGCCTGGAGTCCTGGATTCTCTGACACCTCCCTCTGCTGCTACCATGGAAGAGGCCTTGGACACAGAAAGCCTGGGTGAGCTGTGTGGGTGCCCGAGTCCTCTGGCTCCACACCCCACTGCCATTTCAGGAGTGAACCTGAATCCCTAGAAACATAGGGAGATTGGAAATGACAAAAAAAGAAGCAAAATGTAATCTCAGCCAAACACCCCCACACAGAACAAGTCCAGGAAAAAACAACATGGAAGAACATGGAAGTCACAAACCTGAAATCTCTCAAATGATAACAACTGAAGTAAAGAACCAACTACATCAGGCTATAGAGGAAATCAGATCAGAAATAATTGCTCAGAAAAGAAAAAAAAAGAAATGGCAAACATAATGAAAGAATGGTCACAACTAGAGACCATACTCATAAGTGAAATAAATCAGACCTGCATGTGTAAGCACTGCATTATCTCACTAGGGTAAGACCTAAAAGAGTGAATAAAAACTAGGAGGTATGACAGACATTGTGAAATGAAAGGAAAATGCTCAAAAGTGAAGGGCAACTGGGGTGTGGGAAAAGAGAAGGGAAAGAAGGGGAAATTATGTAAGTATGTACATATAGGATAGCTAACATAGGTGTACTGCTTTCATCTATTGCTCTACAGAAAGGAACAGTTAATGATTACTTGATCAGTTTTGTATATCTCTATTTGTTTTCCTGAGAAACCACTTTGAAGATATCAATAAGTAACACAACAACCATGGTTAATTTCCTCCAACTTTGTCTGTAACTCTGTTTTTTTGTATTGTTCTTATGCTATTTTTGTAAATGGATGTCTGTTTGTTAATATGTTTTCCTCTTCTATTTTTTAAAATAAAAAAGTACACACCTCAATGACTTCAATTGTATTTTCCCTTCATTTTTCATTGATCATTTAATCTTTTAATTTTTAAAAGTTTTATTCTATTACACATGTTTGTAGTGCATGAAATTTGCATTCATCTTGGGGAGTGGGTGCAATACAGTTTGTTTTTTTTTTATCCCCTTCCCACCCACTTTCCTCTCTCCACCTCTAAATCTCCTTTTCTCATTTTCATCCTTAGGGCTGTTATTATTTTTAGGTCATGTTTATGACAAATAATGTTACATTCATTGAGTTTATTAGGTTTCTGTGCATGGCATACACTAATTCTACTCACTTCCTCTCTCCCCTCTCCTTTAGTTGCCTGAACACCTTCGTAGTTGCAGAAGATCTATCCCTTTGTGTAACTTCTATCTATCCATTATCATGCCCTTTGTGTTTTTCCTTACTCAAATGAGAGATGCTATATGGTGTGTCTGATTCATTTCACTATATACCACATTTTCATTGCATTGTTTTTCCTACAAAAGTCTCAAATTTTGTCTTTCTTTATAGTCAAGTAGTTTTCCATTATGTATAGACACCGCATTTTCTTTACCTATTCATCTGTTGATGGGCATATACACTGCTTCCAGGATTTAACTGGAATGAATTGTGCTGCATAAACACTGGTATGCACATATAGTTGCATATGATGTCTTTAGCTCCTTACAGAAGATACTTAGAAGTAGAATAGTTGAGTCATTGGAATTTATAATTTTAGTTCTTTGATAAATCTACATAATGATTTCCCCAAAATGGTTGTATTAGTTTACATTCTCACTACTAATGTAGGAAGCTTCCTTTTTTACTACAGCCATACCAGCGTTCCTTATTCTTTGAATTCTTGATAATTGCTGGTATAAGATGGAATCTTTGGGTTGTTTTAATTTACATTTATGTAAATGTCAGACTCTGCCATAAAGAAGGATAAACTTGAGACATTTCTAGCTAAATGTATGAACCTTGAGACCATACTCTTAAGAGAAATAAATGGAACAAACGTGTAAATATCACATTGTTTCTCTGGTGTGAGAAACTGAAAGTATAAATATGGACTAAGATGTACAATAGATATTATGAAATAAGAAGAAAATGTCCAATGGGAAGGGGAACTAGGGAGAGAGAAGGGGGAAAGAAAGGAAGGGAAAAGAAAAAAAGTGAAAAGAAGGATAAGATGGAAACAAAGCTTTTGTGAATAATGAGGGGCAGAGGGATTGAAAGGAGGGGGAAGAATGGGAAAAAAGAAAAATCAAGATATACCATCTGCAGATACAAACTCCCTGTGATGAATGTGATCACTTCGTGTATCTAAAACATACCAATAAATTTAATTAATTAAAAAAAGAAAATGTTCCAATTATCAGAAAAAGTTGACAGGAAGACTTTGTATACTGGGGAAAAAAAATTAAAAAATAAGAACATAGTATTGCTGATGGAGCATGAGGTAACAAAGATGAAAGGGAGATAACGGAGATGAAAAGAAGAGAACTTAGACAACAATTTATCAAAGCAAACAGAGGAAGAAGAGGGAGAAGGAGAAGAGGGAGAGGTGAAGGAGAAGAAAAAGAAGCAGGTGGGGAAGAGGAGAGGAGAGGGGAAAGAATCAAAACTCAAAACAAAATTTAAAAAATTTAGAAATGTAGCCAAACCAAACCAACCAACCAACAAACAAACAAACTAAAATGTAGAAACTTTCCAATGGGAACGCAATTCATATACTCCAAAAAGAGAATGTATATGTGATTCTCAGGTCACCTCATTGCCGGAAAGTCTGGGCATTCTCAGCCTTCCATTCTTATACTGATTGTGACATGATCACTTCATTTCACCAGCTTTCAGGCAGGCAGACAGAATCTGATGCTGACCCAGTTCTCGGTTAGGAACTCTTCCCATTCCCCCGCCAGATGTGATCGTGGAATGGGCACACAGATCTACTGGCAAGTAAGAGTCCAGTGAGAAGGGGCGCACATCTGCAAGTTCTCCAGTGGGTGTCCTCAGGGGACTGCAATTGCTTCCACA